AATGCTTTTGTTTTCATTTAATTAGAGTCTCTATTTATTTATTTATTTGTTTATTTATTTATTTATTTGCTTGTTTAGAATCTCCATTTATAAATCCTTGCGAATTACATATTTGGTAACACTTCAGTAAAATTACATTACATTTTACATTATAATGCCTTTGTAACTACTACTTTACTAGGCAATAACTACTTTATTAAGCAATACTACTTTATTAAGCAAAGAAACGACAAACAAATGGTAACAGATGGTGCACTAGGGTCATATGAAGCCAGTTAATTATAGCTATAGGCTTGAAAAGTTAGTTACCAGCTGTTGGCTGGACAGAGCTTAATAGTGGACACTTAAAATGTTGTGCAAATGATTCTGATGTAAAATCCACAAAGAAAACTCTATTTCGCTGTAGTAATTGCTTAATAAAGTAGTAATAAGCAGCCAGTTTATGAGTAGCAACTAGGTTTATAAGCCTTTATAAAGGCAGTCCAAAGATATTATAATGCCCCCCTATACTAAAGCTACCATAAATGTTTAGAAGTACATTTTTTAAAGTAATTTAGCGAAACAAGGAAAGTTTTTTATAGAGAAGTGAGAAAATTAGACACATTTGACACATTACAAGCTACATTACAGCTGATTTTAAGATATAAGATTTTAAGATTAAGATTTGACCATAAAAATAAATATGGGTCATTAAAAGTGGATCAGTATACAGTTGGCTCTCTCTGTAGTCAGTAAGCTTAGGTGAGAAATGCATTTTTAATGTAAATAAATGAATAAGAATACAATGTATGGCGATGCAGAACATAAAGAGCCCAGCAGAAAATGTAATGCAACTAGTTGCATGCTGTGAGCTGACAGATACACAAAGCAGTTCAAACTCAGAGGAATGCAGCACATTCAGTTACTCCACTAGTAAACCAAATAAAACAGCTCGTGTTATTTGATCTATCGTGTCGATCTCTCAGTCTGCTATCATGTCACCTATTTAACCATGAATTTTGAGTAGCATTTTTATCATCTTTGCAGAATTTTAGTGCAGTGATAGCTGTCTATAGTACTTGACGAAGAAAACCAAACTAAAAGGGCTAAACGAGTGTGGGTGAAAGACTGGCTACTGAAAAGAGAGAAAGGAGTTTAAACAGTTGTTATCGTTAGTTGGCTTGTTCACTAAGCTGGTTAGCTTTGAGAAACTCTCGTTTGTTTCTTGGTTAACTGACAAAAAAACTGCCAACCTTGAATAAAGTCAGAAGTATCTCTGTTTCAAGTGTCCAAACAGGCTGTCAAAACTTTTAATTCTCTTGCTTATCAAGTTGACGTCATTTGTAATCAATCCTTTGAAACAGTCTTGTTCGACAAGATAACGTGTTGCTTCATTTGCGTTCTGATTGGCTGTTTCATGAAACTTATTCCATTAAGTCGAAACGCTTGCAACTGTTGTGGCTGAGATTCAGATGAGTTGGAGGATGCTTTCAATTATGCAATTCAAGTGCAACTTAGTTTCATGTAGGTTTCAAGCAACAAAAATTGCGTGAATGTTTCACCGTATAAAGCCAGCCGAAAAAGTGCAAAAAAACCAAACTCTTACTAGTAATTAGGCTAAAACTGCTAAAATAAATCATCAAAATTAATTTAGCTGTCTTGGTTTAACAATAAAATAATAACGCTGTGCTCTTAATGACATTATTTACCAACAGGATTTGCTAAATTAGTGGTTCTGCAACCACGATACAGAAAATGCAGCACTCCACAGTATCAACATGTAAGCACACAAAACAAAGCAGCTCCACAATCTCACAATCAATCGACAGAGCTCTCTGTTAGTGTCAGTAACCGCTGCCTATAGATAACCATTTTAAGAAGTTGCGTTCTACGCATACTAAAGCAGTAGGAACTGCATAATGACTGAGAAAAGCTAAACTGGGTTTTAAAATGCACAATAAGCCTTTGTTATTTATATTGCTTAGACAGAGGAAAGTTATTGAAAAGTTTACTATTGAGCACATCATTAAACACAATTGGTTCAAAGTGTCTTGCATTAAATTATGCCATAATGAGCATATATTAGATTCCCTATCATCCTTTAATGAGCTCGTTTTTTGCTGAATACAAAGACTCAACCAGGGGGCTTTCTCTGTGTTCAGTAAGCTCAGGTGAGAAATGCATTTTTAATGTAAATAAACAAATAAGAACACAATATATGGCGATGCAGAACATAAAGAAATATAATGCATGGAAATAAATTACCCAAATACTGTATTTCAGATTTATGAGCACAAACACAAAACCGTAAATCAAAAAAACACCTTCGGTTCATGGTTTTTATTTGCATGAGTGAAATAACAGCGTGTACGTGAATATTTTCGTGTCCATAGCCAGTGAGAGGAAATGAGACTGTTATACTCAACACAATAAAAGTTTGCTGAAGTTTTATAGTGATATCACCACCTGAAATAGTGCAAAGTAAAAACCATCTGACCTCAAAAATAGGAGCTGGGTCTCATCTTGACTTTGATACAGATAGTTAAACACTTTTAGATACTTTTTCAGTACTTTGATTTAAACTACAAACCAAAAGTGGGTGTGGCACAAATCAGTCTAGATTTTGAAACAAGCAAGCATATTGGCTCACATATGCTAACTGTGAGCCAATGAAATTTGGGGCTGGATGCCATGAAATCTGAGAATCCTTTGGAGAAATTCGGTTAGTGATATCCAGTCCTAGTCAAGCGTCATTAAGAGTGGCTCAGTATGGTCATGTGACCTTCAGTTATACCCTGATAAATGAAGATCCAACTATTCAAAAACCCTCCCAGAATAATGATAACAATCATAGATGAACAGACAGACAGACAGACAGACGCCAGTGTCAAAATCTAACACTTACCAAATCATTCGAATGATAATGAAAATAAACAGTGATTAAAGATTAATATGGACAAAAGTATTGGGACACCTACACATCACACCTACAGGAGCTTTTATGAATCCCATTCTAAATCCATAGGCATTAATATGGAGTTGGTCCCCCTCTGCAGCTACAACAGCTTCCACTCTTCTGGGAAGCTTCTACAAGATGTTGGAGAGTGTCTGTGGGAATTTCTGCCCATTCATCCAGAAGAGCATTTGTCAGGTCAGACACTGATGTTGGACGAGAGGGCCTGGCTCACAATCTCTGTTCTAATTCATGCCAAAGGTGTTGGATGGGGTTGAGGTCAGGGCTCTGTGAGGACCAGTCAAGTTCTTCCACACCAAACTCACCCAGTCAGGCCTTTATGGAGCTGCTTTGGTCACTGGGGCTCAGTCATGCTGGAACAGAAAAGGTTCTTCCCTAAACTTTTCCCACAAAGCTGGAAGCTTACAATTGTCCAAAATGTCTTGGTGCTGAAGCATTAAGATTTCCCTTCACTGGAACTAAGGGTTCTAGGCCAACCCCTGAAAAACAACCCCATATCATCATCCCTCCTCCACCAAACTCTACAGCTGGCACAGTGCAGTCAGGCAGGTAACGTTCTCCTGGCATTAACCAAACCCAGACTCGTCCATCAGACTGACAGATAGAGAAGCTGATTCGTCTCTCCACAGAATACGTTTCCTCTGCTCCAGAGTCCAGTGGCGACGCTTTACACCACTCCAGCTAATGCTCGGCATTGCGCTTGGTGATGTAAGGTTTGCGTGCAGCTGCTCGGCCATGGAAACCCTGCCATGAAGCTCCCGGCGCAGTATTTGTGCCGATGTTGATGCCAGAGGAGGTTTGAACTCTGCAGTTATTGATCAGCAGAGCGTCAGTGACTTTTATGCTCTATGTGCCTCAGCAATCAACAACCCTGCTCTATATGTGGTCTGACACATCGTGGCTGAGTTGCTGTGGTTCCTAAACGCTTCCACTTTTTAGAGCGACCCATTCTTTTACTAATGTGTCTAAAGGCAGGCTGCACGGCTAGCTGCTTAAATTTACACACCTGTGCCAATGGGTCTGAACAAAACACCTGAATTCAATGATTAAGAGGTGTGTCCCAATACTTTTGTCCATATAGTGTATGTCATATTATCAGCATTAGGTCTCTGTGACATACATTGAGCTACATAATCTGTCATTTCACCACACAAAGTGTCATGACAACCTATTGTAAAAGAAAAATCTATATGAGCTGACTAGGGTGTACTGTTAACTCGACATCCAAGGCAAATTTAACCTTTATGACCAATGGCACCTATTTAAATAAGTGTTTATAAACGTCTACACCACTTTCATCTAGTGCTTTTGAAAAAACACAAGCAATAGCAAAACATCTCAGCAGTGCTTTTGTTTCTTATGTATGAATATTCCACTAAAACGGTTGCTGCAACTTGACCTTGGGAACTGACAGGCACTTAAACTGCGAAACTATCTTTAGTGGGCAAGGTCTGTCTCACCGCTGCTGAAGAAAAGTAGAAAAGCTACAGGCAGTAATTCATAACAGCTGCCCCTGGGAACGGTGGGTTAAACTAGCCTTTATTTCATATTTAAGTTTGCAAAACATTCCACTGATTTGGCTCTCAGAAATCTCTCCGATTAGAGGCATACATACCTAGTTGCACAGGCTGTCCCTGGACAAGTGCTCCTAATATTGCTATGAATATTTATGAAAAAAGTCATAAAAAAAAAGCTTCAGGAAAGAAAAACCATTAATTTGAGGTCCTAGTATGGATACTGAAACCTCGACTTGGCCTGACCGCAAGTTGCACTCACAGCATGCTACTCATTCACCTTTCAGCAACTCTGTTAAACAGTGTATTAGCCACACTTTGCAGCTTTAACATGTCAAAACAGAGCTACACCCGTGTGAGGCACAAATTAGCTTAGGAAATAACTGGAGGCGCAATAAAAAAGCAACTTGATCTAGAGGTCGCCGACGTATGATACAAACAGAAAGATTTAGTGCTTCGGTGAATCATAGAGGACATAAACGTAATTGCAGTGCTTAGCCCATTTATGAGCTGCTGGTGGTGAGATTTCTTACCTCAATGCTAGCTTCATACTCAGAGCTGTCCAGGAGAGCCACCTTGAAGGGAAAAGTCTTGGAGCGCTTGGAAGGTTTCTGTGGGGATTTGGGGCTTTTGCCTGGTGTCGTTCGGTCCGACGTGTCGTCCGGGTCTTTGTGGTCATCTGGACGTTTGCCGTCTTGGTCCTAAAAAAGCAGGAATGTGAAGATAACGTCTATTAATACAGAGCTAAAATAATCAAAACGCTGCCATTGTATCATCTCCTAATTATATCTTTATAGGAAGGAAGTGTAAGGTATCATAACACGATTTCAAGTAGGGGTGGGGGAGAATCGATTCTTAGATGCATCGCGATGCAGACGTGAATGATTCTGAATTGATTCACGAATGTCAAAAATCGATTTTCTAAATTTTAATTTATAACGTAATGTTGACGGAACGCAAAAGGCGGAACTTGGAAGTGCGGACGTGCAGCGTCCGGACAGTCTGTGGCGGCATATAACAAAAACACCACTGGATGAGTGAGAAATCCCACCGGCTCCCTCTGCATTAAAGCCAGGTTAGATCAGGAGTCACAACACAAATGATAAGAAGAGCCGTTTTGTCCTTTCAACAAAAATCAAACCACCTTGGGAGCCGCACCATTTAATGTCCAGTATGTCTCAGTGTGTGCTGATGTCCTAGTATAGACTAAACAATATAAACAAAAATGCATTTACTTTGCTCTGCTTTAAGATTTAAGCTATAGCCGCTTCGCTCTGATCTCTGCCAGAAAACTTTTCCTCAAAATTTGAAGTGTCTTGTAAAATGTCTCTTGTTTTATGAGGCTGAAGTCGCTTCTCATTCTCCAGCTTATTTAATTTCCAGTCAAAACAGCTATTAAGTCCAAGTTATTCATTTTTCAGAATAAGAAAAAAACAGAAAATTACACAGAAGCCTCAACAACTAAAATATAATATCATTTTTCAGTATTTATAGTGTCCACGCTTTGCTTTTCTTACAGCTTTCATTCCTTTGAAGACATCTGCTTTCAGTTTTTCAAAGGAATGTACAGGGATGTTAAGTCCATCAACTCCACATCTCAGAAGTCCAGTTTTGGTCATTCTAGTGCAAATTTTCCTCTTTTTCTAAAATGATTGAGTATTGGAGATGTGTAAGCTGTTCTAACTCAAAATAATTAACTAATCATAAATTGAATTCACCAATAGGCTATTGTTCTGACAAACTCATATTCTACTGCATTGCAGAAATACGATCATAGACATTTTGACAAGGTCTTGTCCAGTTTAACATGACTACAGACCACCTCTTCAAATGCTGACAGTACAGATCAGAGTAGAGATGCAGCCTCTGTGTGGCATTAAGTCACAACAGAATCACACTCAGCAGAGAAGAACTTAGTAAGTCAGCTCTCTCAACACTGATTTAATCAGTAGTGATTGGCATGAGTCACAAAAGTTTATAAATCTAGTCAACACAAGGGAAGGTAGGCTGGGGAGAATGACAACACACAGACAGTGAAGAGAAACGCCTAATATGTAAATATATGGTACTAAGAGCCAATAGGAATGATGTGAGTTTTACTCAAGAAGGTTGCATTGACATTTATCAAGTAAAGCCGAGAGTCTAAACTAAATTGCAATAAGTTTATTCAACTCAACGATCCGGTTTGATGGAATCTTTGAGTCTGAAATCATGAAAATAAAGTTATGAAAAAAGCACGAAAGTCCAAATCATTGTAAAAACAATGTAAAAATGTAAACATTTATGCTGTTTTATCACATTAAGCCTCACTAAATTATCAAGAGCCTTAAAAACAACCCATTATTGGTCTGTTTGTATTTGCATGTAAAGTCAAGTTAAATAAAAATAGTGAATAAAATACATTTAAATAAAAGTACCTCAACTCAAAATTTGCTGAAAAAACAATCTTACTCAAAATGACTGATTTACTGTCTCAACAATTTATTTTTGAGTTAATTAGATTTTTTCAGATTAAGTTACTCTAAATTTCTGTAGTATTCAAGTTGTATTGACTTAATTCTTTCATTAAGATGTGCAGTGACTTTTACAGTGCAGTAAGGGCTTCTTGACAGCTACACATCACAGCGCTGAGTCGTCTTCTCACAGTGGAAGGATGGACAGAAACACCTGAGGATGTTTTCAGATCTGAAGCAGCTTGATTTTCTCCTCTCTCTCAGAGATGAAAGCTTTAAGTGCTGTTTATCTGATGGGGGCAGTTTTGGTGTCGACCAGGTCTGCATGGTTGTTAAGAGTCACATTTTCTCTGGATCTTCAATCATTTTTTGAACTTTAGTTTCAGAAACTCCTGTTCTTAACCTTTTTTGACCTCTGTCTCCCTTATGTAAGTGTATTATCTTATAGCTAATCCCCCCAGAAACATCTCATTTAGCCATTTTACATGCAAATGAGAAGGAAATTTGAAGTTGTGTTTGGGTAATCAGCTGTGTGAATATTTGTATCTGTTTGAAGAGGAACGTAACATCATTTGGGAGGACGCAGCTGTACCTGGTTGGTTTTTAAGTGGGAAAGATGGTAAGAGTTAAAGTGGCAGCAGAGTGCACAACAGTAAACAGTGGACAAATGAAACACTGATAGATTATATATTATACTTAGTGTTGGAGTCTTTTGTGTAATTTTCTGTTTGATGTGTTTCCTGCCTTTTTTCTGACAATAAATAATGAATGATTTGTACTTGATGGTCGTTTTTCGACTGGAAATTGAATTGTCTTTCAACTATGCCCAGTACAGGGTGTCCCAAAAACACTGACATCATTTCTTAGTCTAATAACAGTTTAATTTTTAATGTTTGTTTTCCAGGTTGAAGAACGGCGTTCACTAGAAATGAAAAGGCATTTTGTGTGTTAGAATATGCTCCAACACAGTCAAACGAGAGTGTGCAGCAGCATTTTCGAGAAAATTCAATAAAAATGCACCAACTGGACAGCAGATTTGGACACGGCACAAAGAATTCAAAGAGGAAGGCTGTCTGTGCAGGACAAAGGGATCTGGACGACCTCCAGTATCGGAAGATATTACATTTGTGAAGCTGTGAAATCGGTTATAAAATTTACATCCCTCTGAATTTCTTGTTCAAATTTTGAAAAATAAATCTTGTATTGTTCAACATGAAGCCTATTTAATTTAGTTTGCCAGGACATGTAGTTACTCAGATATTCACATCTCAAATGATGTCCATTTTTTTGGGAAACCCTGTATATTCTGTCAAATCTATCCAGATTTTTGGCTTCTAAACTTCTGAAAGTCTTAAATATTGTCATTTCGGTTCCTTAGAGTTCCTTACAAAATGCCATTGAGTTGACATAACACATCACCTGTTTGGCCATTTTGCCGTCTGATGCTGACTCGGGCATGCTGCCTGCAGCCCCCTTGTGTTGGGGCGGTTCCTCTGCTGCGTTCTTCACCTCCACATCAGGACCCGTTTCTGTCGTCATGGTAACTTCTCTTTATCCTACAAAAACAATCAATATTTTATTATATCATACCGTATCATCTTGAGCAAAATGTTCTAGACAACCTCAAGAGCTTTTCTAAAGACATTTCAGTATTTTTCACCAAATTCCTGAAATATGACTCATGCTTTTCTCTCTTCCTTCCTCTCTTCATTGAAACAACATCAATATCAGTAACTCGATTCAATTTATCAGCTGAGCAAAGTGAAGTGATGCACTTTTATTTCTTCAGGCTATGAAGGAGGCATTCATTTTAATCCATACACTCACACAAACATCTTCTCTTTCCACTAAACGAGGGTCAGGCTGACATATCCCTGCTGGTGGAGGCCTTCATAGACATCCTCTTCAATTTACCCCACTCTCCTCAGAGGAATGTCAGTCACTTTAATTGAACACCCTAGACCTTTCCGAGTCGGTCTAATCCAATCACAGGCCTACGCTTTTGCCCTCATGACACAAATCACATCAACATAATGCGGCAAAGGCCAAGGATGGACACCGCACGGGACAGAGGAAACATGACCCACCCCAGCGAGCATGCTCCAGAGCTGAGCTGCAGGCTAACCCTTGCAGTGCCTGCTTCCAGTGGTGTGCAACAGGGGTGTATTTTAGGCCCACTGAAGAAGAACACAATGGGTTTCTTGCATTTGTGGCCCATAAACAAGAATCGATTTTATCCCATAGGGACAAAAGAGAGAAACATCTGTGACCTGTGTCAGGTCTAATTTTCCACAAGTAGTCTGGTACAGCTGAGCTGTCCGCTACAGTACTAAATCAATTTTTCATCAGTTTCTGAGGTGCAAAAATTATGAGACTGTAAAGCTGCCATTGTGTAGTCGCTTCCTTTGGGGGCAGTTTTCCGCTGAACCACTGAAAGTGATAGAGACGTGTGGCTTATTCTCATCCATCTGCATTGACTGTGTTATCCGCATTTCATTAACTGTTTATGGCCAGCAGTTTGGCTGAACTACATGCACATAAAATTTCACCGTCTGCGCTCATTTTTGTCTGGGGACAGAAATCATGCAGACTGACAGATGTTGCATTCATATTTACTGTTGAAGAAAGTAAAAACCTTCCTTTGTTTTTACTAAACAAATAAAAAGAATATGCATTCTTCAACCTAGAGATGAATGATGATATCAGAATCACCTCGGTATGTTTAGATTTGACTGATATTTCAAATCAATATTTGGGCATTTATTAATTCTATTCCTAGCAGAATGTTTAGGCAATGCTGTGATAAAATGTCTGCATTTAATTCAGATAAGCGCATTTATAACCTTCCAGAAGGGTTATCCTCATAAAACATGGCCCAACTTGAAAAACGCATTCAACTGTTTTTAGATAATACAAACGATGCATGTCTGAATGATTCATAATAAACCTGTATGATTTTCATGCTTTTAAATTGATTTTTAGCAACTTTTTCAATTTACGTGACCAAATTCTCATTACTGTACGGTAAGACTTTAAGATAATAATTGATCATTCTCTTTTTATAAGCTCTTATTTTTATTATCATTGTCAGACAACGTATTTCAATAGTAATTATTAGTGTAATTTGGGCAAAAAAATGGAAAAAAAAACTCTCTGCAATGCTAATACAGGCGCATTTAGTCCCAACTTCTACATTTTATGAATGTTTACATATACACAATTGCAATTAACAATTTCATTGTCTTTTTTTGTGCATTGCATGTAACTTACGAGCAAAAAGGGGCTAAATCAACTGTTTAGCTATCTGGCTTTCTAGCTGTCGATACTTTTATTCTTGTAAACACCATTATTTGCCTCAATGTATTGAGTATTTCCCTCAACCTGACCAGTTACATGCAACTGATTCACATTCTGTTTGTTGTGACATAAACATATGATTGTGGAAGCTTAAATAACTGTGATAAGGCCAAATAATTGTAGTCAAGTGATTATGTAATACATTTACATGCAAAAGTTGCACCCATGGTCAAATTTTTATGTTTTGTTGATTTTCTGCATGAAAAAAGTTCAAATATCCCCTACAGAGACACTTTTGCACACTTATTGCACAATTACTTGCTGATTTTAACATATTGGGGGGAAATTTAAACATGAAATTTGACCTGTAAAAAAAATTATGGCACATTTTATAGTTAATGTTCATTTTTTTTTCCAATACACTCTCATAAAAAAGGTACTAAACTGTCACTGGGGTGGTACCCTTCTTGTCATTAGGGTGGTACCCTCAAGGGTACATTTCAGTACCTTTAGTCAGGGAACAAAATTGCACCGTAATCCATTAAAATTATACATTTTTAGGTTGAATTTACTCTGTACCCCCTGGGGGCTCCAGCCTTTATATTTCATTGTTCTGTTTTTAAATATTAGGTTATGAAAAGGCACAAATACATACTTTTCACCTGGATTCAACATTTACATTGTTCGTACTATTGTTTGACCCTGCGTGGTAAACAAACAAATAGGAATGTGTGAAAAATGCCATACTGAAATCTGTTGGAAAGGGTGTGTTAACTTATTTTCACTTAGAAAATCAACAAAACATTTCATTTGACTGGCGATGTTCAATCTTTTGCATATGACTGTACTTTTCCCCCATTGGATCCTCTTACATTTGTGTGATTTCATGTGCCAAAACCAATCAGAACTCATTTTCACAGGACCATTTTCTAACTTCATCCCTTAAAAGTATTTCGCTGCTGTCGGAAGAAAACCTTGCATTTCCATTTTTGTTGTTTTTCAGTTTTAGACATAATTTGAAAATACTGTTGTTCTCTACACTGAGCGTAAATTTCATGATGAATGGACTAAAAGAAACGGTCCAAAATGACTTGGAAAAAATTCTGGTTCCATTGACTTACATTAAAAGTAAAGTATGTTTTTTCCTTCTCCTGTAAAGTTTCCATTTTGGAGATACGAGGTTTTCCTCCAACAACAGCGACATGTAAGGTAGATAGAGATATAGAGAATAAGCTCTGTTCTGACTGACTGCCCTGTATTGTATTGTACCTTATTCTAAAAGCAGATTAAAACACCATTTATAACTTTAGTGTGAACAGGCAGGGCTAAACTGTTACAGGCTGAATAGGGGCATATGTAAATGAGATGGATGGCGTGACAAAAATGGTGAATCCAAAGCAGATTGTTGTGCTGCTTACTGTCTATATATCGAAAAAATTAACAAACCTTTCATTTGTCTGGAGGTATTTAAACGTTTGCATATGACCGTAATTAGGAGAGGCCTATGAGTTCCTCTATTGTTTTGTAAATGCAGGGAAACGCAAAATGATTGTCTGCAGTAATTGATGGTACAATCCAGGCACACTGAGATTAGGCGGAAGTTTATTCTTCTTTTCTATCACACATAAACATGACCTGGGAGTCACAATGTATAAATAAAGCAGTATAGACAAAACCATCAACAAACAAACGCTTTCCACGTCCCATTTACAACGACCTATACATCACAGCACTGCGAACGAATGACTGAACGCATCTGTTGTGACACAGACATGCAGGTGTGCTGTGGAATCTGCAAACACAACAACGCCAATTTTCAGGCCACTCACACTCAGAGTTTAACCGGGTCTCCTGTCTAGAGATCTTTAATGGCTTCAGATTAATTACCAAATTAACGAGGGCTGTTGTCACCCATAGAGAGAGGGGCAGACATTTGCAGCCATTCATTTCCTGTCACAGCCCATTAACCATAACAGCCTTGTCCCTAAACACAGAGTCAGAGTGCCTCACACACTGCCGCAGTCGAAAAGTAGGTGACGCTAGTTGCACGTGATGAATTCCATATGCAGCTGATGGTACGAAACCTGCCGACACCTAAACCTGGCGAACTCCAGGCTCCACAACATGAGGAAAGTCTTTAGCGATAGACCTGTGAATCTTAATCTACCATCAGTCACGACATTGACCTTAAGAAATGTTTCATTACTGCAAACGTCTGTTTTGATCTGAGTGTTTTTTCCTAAATTTAGCACTCTGTGATATGATTATGCTCAAAAAAGAGCAGTCAAAAACAGCTGGGCACGTTTCTGTTTCAACATCAACATGACATTCCTAAACCTGTTAGAACAAAATTAAAAAGTGTTATGTTCTCTATGGAGATGCAGCAGAAAGCAACACAGTTACATGAAACATGGACATCTGATTTGGGTTAACAGGTTGACAGCAGACGTGTTTCACCAGATTCACCCTATTTTTGTGCAATTTCATGTGAGTTTGTTGCAACGTCAGGGTTGTTATACCAGTTTAATCCCTTTTCACAGTAGCCATAAAATGTTATAACAGCCTATTTTGCAGGTCCAAGAGTTCAATTTTGATCATATTTTGAATTAAACTATTTTATTTGATTATATTATAAAAATATCCAACAAAGTGATTTCCATTCTGCCGGCAGAATGGCCACAAGCAGGCCTGTAGACAGAGGTTAAACCATGTTTGGGCACTGAAGTGTCGTGTCATCCTGTGGAATCGACATCGGTCAATCGCGCTAAAGGACGACTGGCAACCGGTATCAACCTCACAAAGCGCTGATTGGTCTGTCTCTTCTTCAAAACCCATTTAATTAAGTTTTCCAGTGTTTCAGAAGTACTGAAAATACCCACAATATGTTCAGAAAATCTTGTGATTATAACAATATTACACCCTCATATCGCCCAACCCAATGGAGGGTGAGAAACTCGAATGCACAAGGCACCCAAAGAAGGCCCAAAGGTAAGAAAATGCCCAGCTGGACCTGAAACCAATGAATCTTTTGTGAAAAACAGCACATTTTTTGAAAGTCATTATGACAACTAGTGGTTCAATTCAGTTCAAGATTTATTTATATATCTCTCTTTACAACGTGCGTTGTCAGAAAACAGGTTTACCAAAAATCCAGATCCAAGCCCCAAACAAGCAAGACAGTGGCAAGGAAAAACTCCCTAAGAGCAAGAGGAAGAAACCTTGAGAGGAATATATATTCAAAAGGGGAATGCATACTAAT